CAGCTCACCCTCCCGCCCCACGGGTGTCGGATCCCTGCGTGCCCACCCAGGGGTGTGGGGGTTTTTAGGCTGTGTTTTTTAGGCTGGCCACCAATGTCCTGCTTAACCTCCCCAAGGAAAAGGCCTGAGGAGACCCGGCGGTCTCCACATTCAGTCCTTTACCACCCTCGTGTCGCTGCCTCTTGGGAAAGCTTAGAAGTTAAAAACCAACTCGGCGCTGCAAAGGGTAACTGTGCCACAAAACGACTCCGCAAGCAGATGGATTTTCCCCCTAAATGCTGCGTGGGAGAAGCTCCCATGCCTCCTCTTCTGAGGGGGGCTTTGCTAATTGCCAAGCTCTGGCAGGATTTTTCTGAGCTGGAAACCCAACCTGCTCCACAGGCGCTCGCCTTAGCCCATGCTGCCATCTCCCGGCAGCCCACGGCCACCACAGCGGGGTCATCCCCACCACCGCGATGACCCACCAAAGTGACCCTCCACCAGCGCGTCCCAAGGCAGAAAGAAGTGGACAAAGTGCCTCCGTCCTCCTTCCCTCCAACCCTGCGGCACGCTCCCTCTATTCCCATTCCCATCCCGCCACGCTCCCAGAGAACTGGGGTCACCAGTAGCAGAGGGGCTACGGGGAGGAAAACGAATCCAAGAGCAACACAATCCTCTCAGTATTGCTGCGAGCCCCCGGGTCGCCCTACCATCGTGATCCCCAGGCTCCAGATATCAGATTTGACGCTGTACCCCTTCTGGTTCAGCTCCGGGTTAATTCTTTCAGGCTGTGAACAGAGACAAAGTTGGTTGAGGAACAAGGATGGCCCCAGTGCAATGCCCACACCCAGGCTCACAGATCTCCGACATGTATTCCGCGGTTTCAGGCCAGGATCACTCAGCCCATGCCACCAGCTTGTTCTTTTGGTTGTTATGGGGTCAGAATGGGTCCCATATCCTTGCCGGTAAGGGCAAGCAATGAAATGGCTCACCAGAATCAGATGGTACCCGCATCAGGGCTTGGGGTGGTGGAGCTGACTCAGCACATGGGGCACGTAGAGGGTGACAAATCTCAATTCTCCAGGACCATTTCTACCCCGTGCAAATGCTCCACAGGGTGCAAATTCTGAACAGCACCTCCCGGGAGGAGTCTGAGGGACCCAATCCCTGGGGACTGTTTTTTCCTCCCAGATAGAAAGTACAATTGTCCCCACAGGGCAAACAACAAAAATGCAACACGGAGTAATTACAGAACCTTCCCCAAGGTCACAGGGAGCAGGAAGTTGTGCCCAAGGAGATCTGATCTGACCCATGAGATCCGCCTCCTCTCTCTGCCCCTTTACAAGTAACTTCAGAGATACGTCTTCCAAAATGAGTCCCTGGGCAGGACACATGCCGGAGGCTGATCCTTTCCCCGTTCGGATGACCCCATGCCCAGGCTCAGGTTCCTCTGGCTGTCCCACAGCAGCTTTCACACGCGGCTCCTCCGCAGCTCAACTTACAGCCATGTAGGGTTTGCATCCTGCATCCATGGTTTTAGCAACCGAGTCAACGAGGTAACCGCTAATTCCAAAATCGCACATTTTCACCTGTCCCTGCGTATTGATCAACACGTTAGAGGGCTTTACATCTGCAAGAAGGAACACATACCACAGTCACTGTCGGGCATGGGTGGCCGTGCCAAGCCAAAAAAAAGCCAAAGAGCTTTCTATCAGCAGAGGGCACCAAAGGTGCCCGTGCAAACGCCTCTGCTTTCTGCCAGAAAACGGTCTGGCTGCAGATACTGCAAATTCAGGTGACTGCCTCGTGGGCCTGTCATATGTCCTGCAAGAGTCCCTTCACTTCCAGACTCCTCTCTCTGACCTGGGGCATTGGGGAGAAGGTAACGCTGCATGCAGCCGTCGCATCCCACCGTGCAGGGGACGGCCACAGCCACCTCACCGCTCGCAGGGCACCAGCTCAGGCAGGCTGGGGACAACTCCGGAGGGTGTCTGCAAAGGGCTGGAGCTCTGGCAAGTCCCCAGCTGGATGTGGTCTCATGCCAGCAAAAGGAAAAACCCATGGGGAAAGGATGAGGGGTGGGCAGGCAAGGGCGAAGAGGAGCAGGGGCTACAGGGGAAGGAGGGAGCCGTAAAGTAAGACAAGGATTGAGCTTTCAGAAACGGCCTCTAATTTTAAGGACACTGAGCTTTAAGGCAATGTTGACAGCAGCAGGCGTGTGGGTGCTCCACACCTTATGGAAATCAGGCCAGTGTCTCATCTATTTATTACTGCCGGATTTATCTGCTTCCTATCATGGCCTTATAATCCTTGGTGCATTCACACTTGCATCACGCTCAGCAAGGCAGTTATAACCACCATCAGAAAGGGAAAACAAGGCACAGAAAGAAGCTAGTAAGTGATATACATCAGAGCATGGAGGTGCTTTCCTGCACAGCAGGCAATTACTCCCTGTGAGGTTAACCCCCGACGAAATCTCCTCACAGCACAGGGAACACGCATGCCACCCTGTTTTCTCTTGCCCCAGCACTGACCCTCAAAAGGGAACAATCCTTTCCCTGTTGCCGCCCAGAAATACGAGGTCTCTTCTGCAAGAAACTCCTCTGTCTACATGTAATAAACTATTAAGTACAAAAGCTGAAACACCATCCAAAGGAGGCCAGAAGCTGCTTTTGAGCCTTGCTTATTAGAATTGGGTGGTTTACAGCTCGTCAACATCTGCTCTCTAATCAGCATTTTGCAATCAAAAGCTTCAGGTATCTGAGATCCTCACCCATCTGTTACTATGCTGAAATGAGACAATTTTCAGTGGAAATCAAACAAGTAAACAGAAATCCAGAAGCCGAGCAGCTTTTTCCACCTACTGTAAATGATACAGAAGGCAGAAACTCAACCCCCTGCCGCATGCAGAATGTACAAAATGCGACTGCCTGTGAGAGCTGAACTCTGCTCGCTTCAGATGCTCCTTTTCCCGGCAGTGACACACTCCAGAGAGGGCTTTTTCCTCCTCATGACAAATTGAAAATGACCCTTTAAAAATAAAGGTGTCAAGCAGCAATGCTGCAAATGTGTTTCTCTCTAAGTCTGTTCACGGCCTCTTTGAGATGCTCTAGAGAGGAAAATGCCAGAAGAGTTTAAGGAGGGTATTTATGACTTCACTTGGGGCTATTTTCGGTATCCAACCATTCTGCCCCACCAGCACTCAGGGAAGCTCACAGAAGGGGATGAGGATGGCTGGGTCACTGCATGGTGCATCATGCGAGCACAGAGATGCTTCTCACTACGTGTCAACATGGAGCCATCAAGGTATGAGAGAAGCCTTCACCAAGGTCAGAAGGAAAAATCTGTTTGAATTTTGCAGAGGTGTTGAAGCAGACCACAGAGTCAGACCCAGGGAGAAACGGCCCTTTCTCTGCCAGCACAGTCCGGCTGGATCTTGCTTCTCCTCCACATCAGGGAAACACTGGGATCAGCATGCAGTTTTTAAAGAGCAAACCAGCAGACACTTCCTCTGACTAGGTTTTACTGGTCATTAGACACTGGGGAATATTTTTGCTGTCAAAAGCTCATTTTATCTTAGGTATTTTGGGAGCCCTGAGCCTAGCATGCAGCACAGGGCAGATGACACCAGCGTGGTCATGGCTGTGTGCCTGGCACTTACCTCTGTGGATCACGGAGAGCTTACTGTGTAGATGTTCTAGTGCTTTTACGATCTGAAACAACAAATCTAGAGTGAATCACAGCTGGCAGCACCAGGAAGAGGAGGAAACACTATCTGGCTTCACCCACCCCATCTTCACCAGACCTCCTTGCAGGGAAGGAACTACATCCCCCATGAGTCCTACACCCTCCCAGCAGCCCAAGGTGACAGTGGGTACCCAGGGATCTCCCAGGGGCCCAAGGACCCTAAGGAGAAGAAAAAGGAGCTGCAGGGACCTCCCCACATCTATCACTGTGCCACCTCTCAGTCACGTGTACAGGCACATTTTGGTTATTTATGCCTTATAAATAACATCACCTCAGGCCTCCGACACTGGAAGCCAACTAGGAATGTTCACGAGGGCTGGCCCATGGACCGTGTTCTTTCTGGTCCAAATAGAGCAGGGAGACTGGGATACACAGGATTTGGTTTAAAAGAGAAACATCCTTTTCCTTCCCTCCTGGCCCTGCTAATACTCACAGAGACAGCTATTTTTCCTAAGATGTCCTCAGGAATCGTCAGGCCTTTGTCAATGACGTGTTTGTAGAACTTGTCCAGTGAGGTATCCATCAGTTCCATACAAATCCACACATCTCCCTGCAGGATAAAGGAAGCAAATATCTGCCCACTGGAACAAAGCATCCTTTTCCTTTCCCATGCAAAAGTCTAATCTGACACTTGCCTCTTCCCTGTCTCTTAAGTCATCCAACAAAACCGTACTTTTTTTCCTCTCCAGATGGAATGGCACTACCATTCAGAGTGTATTTTCTGCTGTCTTTTCCCAAAGTAGAGTCCCAGAGATTTAAGAGTCCTGAAAGTTATGGGAACTGAGCTTCCCTACATGCTCAGGTCACTGCAAACGCCCAGCCAGGAAAAGTTCAGCTCTGCAAAGCTATGCTTAAAACTCTTCAATAAATCTTGACCTTCAGAGCTTTCCACATGTTTCCTCCATGTGGCTTTTTCATTGCAATCAGGACAATGTTAACACAACAGACTGGGCTGTGAGTTGATGTCCTTGGTGCCCGGCCGTCCCCATCACTCAAACCCACCACTAAGCCCAGCATCTCAGCCTCACACATTCCTGGCACTGGGGCTTGGCTGCCCTTGGCTCCTCCTCACATGGGACCATGTCTCACCTTGCTTGCCAAGAAGTAACTGTACATGACAGACCCTTAGGGCAGGACTGAACAAATCCAGATTTCTCCATATCTAGATGGAGATTAAACCCCTAGAAGGTATCTAGGCATTGGAATACAGAGCCTGGGAGAGGATTCAGTCTCCCAGAAGCAGCGCAGCTGATCTCCGGGATGCCGTACCTCTCGGAAAAGCGCCCCGTAAAAGGTGACAGTGAAGGGGCAATCTACCGTCCTCATGGAAATATCCAGATCCATCAATAACCTCTTCTGCTCTTGGCTGTTCACTGTGGCTCGGATCCGCTGGAAGACAAAGCATTTTAGTGTTGGCTGTCAGTGCCTCCGTACCAAAGCCATACCTGTGTTGGCCACAGCGCCTCGACATCACGCCTTTACCCTTTTATCACACCTCTTTGAGTTTCTCTTTTATCATAACTCCTTGTCACAGGCACATCACAAGCACAGCACCCATGGCAGGAGCACCCCAGTGCTACAGCGGTGCCTGAAGGGGTCTTCTCACCTCAGCCCAAAGCAGCAATAAAACCAAAATGCAGGGCAGAGAGACCCTAAGACACACCCCAGCATCCACAGCAAAATCTGTCCACAACTGAGGAACTAAGAATTTTCCTTCAGTTTGCTCATAGCTTCCAGCTCTGCATCTTTTTGTTCTTTTTTCTTATTCTGAAAGGAAACTTGAGCTGAAATTCAGCCAAGCAAAAATTGGTCCTTCCCAAAATACAATTTTTCCCATTACTATTTCCCTAAGCTGCAAGTTTATGAGTCTAAACTGTTGTTATGAAAACTTTTCATAATAGTATCTACAAGCCTGTCATGAATCAAGATCTCACCGTAGCAGACAAAATGTGAAAATCCCAACAAAAATTTCCCATTCCAAAGAGACTAAAAAAGTTCCAGCTGAGGAAAACTATCTTATGCAATTAAGTTTACAACACACTCCTTACAGTTACAACTAGTGTGCAGAGCCCTGATTCTGACAATATATCTACAATAGAAAAAAAAAAGGTATGCATATTTAAAAAATGGTGGCAAACATCCTAGTGAAAACAGGAATATTACAGAGAAAGGTGAACAATATGCTTCTGTGCACCACAATGCTGGAAACACTATGAGCATCATACTTCTAAAACACACCCCTTTTCTTAATTAAATAGCCCAAATCTACCTTGGCAGGTAGACCTGTGGAGAAAGAAGATTTCGTATGGAAAGAAGTCAGTCTTGGTTAAAGGCACACGTCAGAACAAGTGAGAGTAGAAATATGCACGAACGAGAGCGCAGAGGGTGTCGATACAGAAATAAAGCGCCTGCGGAGGCTCACTCTACCTTCACCGCCATGATCTGCCCGCTGGGCATGTGCCGCATCTTCTCCACCACCCCGTACGCCCCTCGGCCCAGCTCGGAGATGGGCTCCAGGTCATCGGCTTTCACCTCAAAATTCTGCGAGGGAAAACAAAAACACATCAGCGCCAAGGCGGGCGCTGCAGGTACACGCTATGCGAGAGGCGAAACGCCCCTGAAGTCTAGCCCTGCCTGGCACGTAAACTCACCTCTGTGCATCCCCTTCTTTATCTGTGTTATGGGGCTAGAAACAAAATCACGGGGCTGTCAGGAGGATTAACTACCAGGCGGTAATCAGCAGAGCTCAGGAGAGGACGTGCCTGGTAACGGCACAAGCAGGGACAAGCATCCTGAGCAGGGCGGGCGCAGGAAGGACCATTCCTTGATGCCCTCCCCTCAAGCCACTCACACCGCGGCAGCTTCTTCCCTAGGAATCAACTTCAGTCTTTTATTTATTTGTTTGTTTGATTGATTGATTATTTATTCCTTCCGTCCTCTATTTATTCCTTTCGTCCTCCTCCCACGAACCATCACGGAAATATCTCCAGGGTTTTCTCAAGGCCTGTGAAAGCTTATTTCTCCAGACCTGCAGATGAGCCAAATACCGGGTGGGCATGCCCCATTTTTTTTAAACCACAGAGGATTTATTTTGTCTAGCATTCGAGATCTCTTTCTCCTGGCCTTACACAAAGGATGATTTTGTTTGGAGTCCTGCATTCTAACCTGCCCTTCTCCTTTCCGCCGTGATATTGTGCGGCAGCTCTATTTTTTGCTTATTATTATTTTTGGATGTTTAAAATACGCCTTTGCTACTAAAAGCTGCCATTCTGTTTGCTGAACGCACAACCTCATCAGTCAATCATCCTACAGAAAGAAGCGGGTTATAATGAACTGATTCACAGCGCATAATCCCACATCGCTTTTTGCCGGCACAGCAGAAAAAAAGAAAACCTAAAAACCTGCAGCCTGAAATGTGCTGGCTGGGGCTGCCACGGCGTGCAGGGCCCATACACTGCGTTACTGTGAGCTTGGGTTCCCAGTCCTCACAGCTACGTTGCCTGCAAAAGGAGCCCTGACTGGCATTTTTGTGTTACAGCAGAAATTTAAGCATCTCTGACCGTTGGACACTGTTCCTACTGTCAGAGAGAACCATCTTCAAAAGAGCATTTTGACTTTCTCTCAAGGACACTCTTAAATTTAGGAGAAACGTTTAAAGGGAGAAGAGGGAAAGTGGCTTTCCCTAGGGATCAGGGCTGAGCGTAGGAAGTGGGAGCACATCCTGAAGGAACTTGGCTGGCCAAACAGGTAACGGGTCCACGGGAAATGCGAGCCATGGCATGTCAGCGCCTCCGAGATAGCCACACATCTGCACCCATAAAAAATACCGAGCTCGGGGTTTTATAAGTGAGTTTCTCTTTGCACCGTCCAACACGGGCTCTCTGCCTCCATGCATGGAGCCTTTCTGGCACTCTGGAGCTTTCCCCCATCCCAGGGACTGCAGGGGAGAAACTATTTTCTTGGAGCAGGCGCTTGCTCTAGCAGCAGGCGTTTCTCTGCCTCAGCGCTGCACCATTGCGCTCCAGAGGCATCGCACTCTCTTTCCACCTTCCAGCCCCTGGTCCATGCCAGGGAAAATACAAAATCCAAAATGAAAAAAAAAAAAAAAATCCAAAAAAAAAAAAAACCCAGGAGACAAAACATCCAAAGATAGACATTATAAAGCACTATTGGATTAGCATTTCACTTCATAAATTAACTCATTGACTCCGAGGCCTATCTTTCGCACCTCATAAATTTATTTCCCGGCTTTATAGTGCTTTTATGAATGCTGCTGTGCCATTTTCTCCTATCAAAATAGCTGTCCTCGGTTTTGTTTTTTTTTCCCTGCTATTTCTTTAGAACATCAGATGGACTGCTTTCCATGCTGTCAGAAGGATTTGCTTCCAGGACAGGAAGATCTACCCAGAGTCCGACTCCTGATGAGAAGGCCTTCAATATTAGCAAAGGGAAATACTTTAGATGAAGGCTTTGAACCAGGAAAGAAACTGCAAAGGAGAGTAAAGTCTGCTGTCAGCAATCCCCTTGTTTTACAGTCATTATTTCCAGGGGATTAGCTGCAACTTCTTGAGGCAAGACAGCAGTTTCCAAGATGGAAAACAAGAAGGGGACCCAGGTGGCATGGGATGCAAAAGGTGAGCATTTGGGGGCATGTTCCTCACAGCCTGGGCAACGAGTAAGTCCCACTACAGCTGGCCATGGTCACCTGTCCCCAGAGGTCTTCTCCTCACCGTAACTCCTAGTCTTACCTCCTCGCCAATAGAGATGCAGGCTTTGGAGTCTAGATCTCTGGGTGGCCTGCAGGAGAGAAAAAGGGAAAAAAAATGTGAAATGCTCCTTACAAAGATCAGTTTTCCCTCATTGACTAAATACAAGTCCCATGGTGGTCCAAGCCATCCACTCGCACCTTCAGGCCAGCAGCCCTCGCAGCCCTGAGCAGCCCAACCAGTCTCGCAGCTTTGAAGGATCAATAGATAGAGCCAAGATCCACAGTCACCTCAAAAAGAGGTCACGAAGGAAGCTCCTGGAATGGGCATTTCTCACAACTTCCCTGTGCAGGAGCCCTGAGAGATTCACTGGGAAAGGCAAGCCAGGTGGCAAGCACCAAGTCTCTGCCAGCCTGTAGGAAAAATGGATTAAACAGGCATAAAGGTCTAAAAGCACTGTAAATGATTACCTTAGTCATACTGCATAGGCTAACAGGCTCATAAAAGTCAATCCTAAAAGAAGGAAAGGATGCCAAGCAGGCTGGAGCTGCACAAACTGCCTTTTTCTTTCCTTTTGCAAGGCTGAGTATGTAGGGAAGGGGATGCATTTTTATGCCTTGGCCAAACGCATCTGTTACTCAAACTGGGTGGCAGAAGTGCCACGTCGGTTAAAATCGGGTGCCCGTTCTGTTTTCCATTTTCCTGGATGAAGCAGCACATGAGACATGAACCACGGGCAGGGACAAGTAAAGGGTGATGGGCTGAGACTCCCTGTTTGTACCCGAGGCTACAAGAGAAATAGAAGGGCTGTTATTCTCCCTAATGGTACCAAAATTATCCCAGGTCCTCGAGAAGGATTGCCGTTATCCCAGAGGTGTGAGCACGAGCCGCGGGCGCTGGCCACGACCGGGCCCCAGCCCCTGGCCACGGCAGCGCAGGCGCAAGCGAAAGCTGGAAGGCAGCTGGGGTTCGTGGTTTTCTTTTTATTCTGCCTTAGTGTTTGCAGACTTACGTGGAGCTTGTCTGTGGTTGCTCAAATGCTTCTTTAGGAATTTTCAGCCCAGGGTTTCTCTTCTTGCCTGTGAAACAAGAAAGAGGCAGAATTAAAGAAAGGCGCTTGTTTTGGTTTGGTTTGGTTTGGTTTAGTTTGCAAAACACAGCTTTTCTATATTTGTTGACCTTATTTAACATAAATGCCCTGCCAGGCTGGTGGTGTAGACTCAGGGCACGGAGTTCAAAACATAAAGTGCCTTTGTTCGGTAACGCTTCATTTAGACCTGCAAGGTCTGGCTGCCAGCTTGGTACAGAAAACAGGCAAGTACTCTGGCAAAGGCAGGCCATGTGAAAATGCACAGTGAAAGGTATTTCTCCTTCTCAGCCCTACCCACGTAGGATCCCTTAAAACGTTTCTTAGATGTTAAGCCATTCCAGATACATAACTGCGAACCCTGGCAGGATGCAAAATCTTTTTTAAATTGAATCTGCAAGTCCAGAATCAGATTCTGATTCTGTTTAAATGGATGTTTCACCTACCTCTCGGTCATTAAAGCTGTGCAAACCCAGCAAAAATAAAGCAGAATTAAGTTTGCAGGCTTCAAAGCCATTTGTTTCTGTTCACACTGACCAGCCAAGCTTTTCTGAGCTGGATGAAGCTCAAGCTCTGAAGTAGCTCAAATGCAGGCTCTCCTGTAAAGGGGGTCCAAGCCGGCAGACACAAGAGCCAGGCAGACTAGAGAAATACAAGAACCTTTTTATGACTAAACATATACAGCCACATTTCAGCACGGGGTTTTGAATTCGTGGATAAAATGACCTGAAAACATAAGTCATGTCACCGAAAGCCCAAGGTAAACAGCTGGCTGTTTGGCTGTGTAATAAAATCCCTGGTCCCCAAAAATGGCACAAGCATCTAATTTAGGCGTTAAACATTTTTAACCTAATAATTTATATCAATTACTGTCTTTCTTTTAAGCATGAGTTTTACTCTCTATTCCCAACACTCCCTTCCAAACTTTAGCTATACATGTTTGAGTTTGTTTTTCCTCTTGACAGAAACTCATGCCAATAGATGTCTGTGCATCCCAGTGCTGGAGGGGTGCTAGATCAAAGATCAGGCACCCAGAACTGAAAACAACCTTTTCGAAGCAATTAGTCAATTCAGATTGTCAATCCTTTTTTTTAATTATTCTTATTTTTTCATCTTTTTTTGTTTTCCTCATCTCCTTCATAAGACAGGATCGTGCTCGCTCCTTTTGGCAAAGAGTCAGTCCAGGATGAGCCAGACTGTGACAACCCAGCTGACACCTTGTGTGAAAAGCATTTATTGGAAACCACTGTGCACATTTGCCATCATTATTAGAAATCTACAGAGCTGCACATTTACAAAAGGGGGGGGTGGACGACACAATTCTCTGCCCCAAGGAGCTTCCAGTCTACCAGAAAAAAGGCAAAGTAAAAGAAGCAAGGTCACTCAGAAGCGTGAAGAATAGCTCTCAGTTTTCCCAAGAGGTAAAAGCTGGTGTGTAAGGAAGTAAAAATTACTGTAAAAACAAGTGGAGGAATTTCTACAGTTAGCAGAGCTGTTCTTTGACCCTTTTAGTTTTCTTAGCTGTACTCCAAAGGTCTTTAGAAGGCACAACTGAGCCGCAAGCCCCGCTGTGCGAGGTGCTCTAGACAACATTTCTTGCCCAAGCTGTGCCAAGTGCACATCGGATCCAACAGGATGCTAACTGGGTAACAGCGTTCTTCATGTTGTCATGTCTTCGCTAAAAAAGGAATCGCAAAAATACAGGTCTTACAGTGCAGGCCAACAAAAAACCCTGTTTCTCTGGCAGTTTCTAAGTCTGTGGCCTCTCTGCCTCTAAAAACCTGCCTGCATCCTTTCGCAGTTCAAGCGAACAAGACAACCACGGGCACAAGAAAAGCAGGATCTTCATCCAAAATAAAAACAGAAACAAGCACAGATTTGCTTTGTTCTTCCATTTTTTTCTTTTTCTCCTTTTTCTCCTTTGTGGATTTGCTTGCACAATCCCGTGTGTTGTACCTGAACCTCAGGAACCTGCTGTCGGGCAGCTCGGGGAGGGTGAAAACGAAGCTACTGGCAATTAACCTCATTTGAAAGCGGACCAGAACAGGTTGTGCAGCATTTAATCTTATCATGGTTCACAAGTGGTGTCAGCAGAAGAATTAGGTAGCAAAATGCCAAACCCAAATAAATATTAAAAGCCTTCCGCCTTCTGGTGAAATAAAATCTGCACTTTTGGGGAGTTTATTTTCCTTGTCTCTTCTTCACAGAACATAATATTTTGAAACTTTGCCATTTTTTTGAAGCACAATCTGTTCGCGTACTGGAGTTGCCAAGACACAGACACAGTCTAACGTTCTTTGGGGTTTTCTTTTCAAGAAAAGGGAAAGCAACAACAGTCGCAAGAACAAAACGCGGATTTCACGATGGCACCAGGAGAAGGGATTGCAAACGGGAATTGCCACGGCCGGGACTCGCACCCGCAGCACCAACAGCTCCTGCAGGGTTAGCTCAGGGTGTGGAGGGGGAGAGTGGTTCCCTCCGCACCGCTGCTCACCGCAGGGTTATTTAATGAAAGTCTTGGGCTACGATCAGGCAATTTCATGCTTCTCAACTGGATCAGGCAAGGTTTTCTGAGCTCTTTTTTGTTACAACATGCAAAACGGTTGTCTCTCCAAGCCTTCCGAGGCCAGCGCCTGCAGGCTCCTCACAGGAAGCGTTACCAATCCTGAACGTGATGCTGCCTGAAAACCAGCAGCACTGCCCAGCGTCGCTCCGCAGAGCTGTGGCTGCCACCCCGGCACGCTGCAGAGGGGTGCAGGAACTGGGGTCCCCCCTTACTCCACATCCCAGCTCCCAGCTGCAAAGAGGGGGCTCAGGTGAGGCTCCCCAGTTGCTCCAACAAAACGAAGGCCCAGGTCACAGGTCCTTCAAAGAATTTCTCCCCAAAGGCTAATGCTGATGCTTAGAGGGCTTTTTTTTTTTTGAGGAAATAAATAAATAAATAACTGGATGTCCCAAGATCAGCTTTCTTCAATAAGAATTGCCAAGCAAGTATCTTGCTGTCAAAATAAAATCCCCCAGTTTACCGTAGCAGATATCAGCTTTGCAAGACGACGCTGTATTAAATTGCAGTTTGCAGAGAAAGTCGTCTGCACAGGAGCTCAAAATCTGGAGGCAGCTTAATCACACAGAAAATTGGATGTTACCTGTCCCATCCACCAGAAAACCACTATTTTCCACAGTGGTTTTATGAATCATTATTATTTTTAGCTTTGTTTCCTGAAGAAAATCACCGCATGTCTGTATTTGACAGTCTGGGTTCCTTGTGGCAAGTGTAAAACCGCTGCCCGATTTCAGCCCTGACAGAGGAACTGAGCTTTTGGAGATTGCAAATCTGATTTAAAAAGGTGACTAAATAAAGAAGTCCCCAACTCAGAGGCAGGCCAGGAGCACAAAAGCAACCCATGCCAGACACCAGGCATCCACGCTCAAGCTGTGCAGAAACCCTGGGTGTCTCGGACACCAAAATAACAGCAGGAGGCTCAATCATGAGGCACAAACCAGCCGGGGCCTGAGCTCCTTGGGATTTGCAATGAGGAAAGCCCCCGTCATAAAAAGCACGAAGTCTGAATGTGGCTCCTTCTCCAGAAGGTTCACAGTCACAGCCGATCGACAGATGGGATCGTACGGCTACTCCCCAGCATGCAAAAAGTCATGAGTCTTCCATGTAAACAACCACTGGTGGCTTTCTGGTCTCCGAGCTTTGAAAGCTGAAGCTCATTTGAGATCTCTCCCTGCAATTTTCCACACAGAAACTTCCACAAGCACTTGACTCAAATGCCAGGTTTGAAGAATAATTGAGGGAAACAAACAGATGGGTTTGGAGTGATGCAGAGAGACATCTCCAGAACCAAGTGTTGATTCAGAGAAACATCCTGAGTATCTGTAACGTTAAGCGCAAGCTTAAATCCACTTTCTTTTAGCAAAGCAATTATGGCAAATACTGAACTGACACTAGAAAAGTTGCCACTTTTAAAAAACCTCAGTGCTTTCTTGGTGAGTAAGCAGTAATGCAAGCAACGTCTCTGCAACCTCCTGCGTCCAGCTCCCCACCCTGCCCTGCCTTCTGCACGGGCGTAGGCTAGACCAGCCCAAGAAAGTCAACGCTGAGACCCAAGTGAGGCCTGAAAGCAAAATTGTAATAGGCTAAAGAAAACCCGACTTAATGAAAACACATTAAATACTTCCCTGTGAAGGTCTTAAACCCAATTCCTGAGGGAGGGGAGAAAAATACAACTTCCAATGGGCTTGTTAACCTCTTCCCACCAGCACTGACAGAGCGTAGAGAGAGATTAATGTTGCTGGCCCCTTTCAATTAGGGCAGCGTTAAATATCAGCATTGAAAACGGAAAAGTTTCACAGCAAAAGGGTAGGAAGCTTAACAGAGAATAATAAAGAAAGGGAAGACAGAGGAATTCACTACCCACATACGCTGTAACAGCAAATAAACTTTTACTTCTGAAGGAAAATCCCATTCCCCAGTCTCCAGACTTCTCATCGCAGTCAAAACCTTTTCACGATATAATCCAAAGTAAATGGTTCCTTGCCACAAAAAGCTCCTATTTCCTTCAACGGATATTAACCAGTTGTGTCTTCACCACAATTTATTATTAAAGCTGTGTTCAATAGCCATGTAGCAACACTTCCTTCCAAATAACACTCTTTAGCATATAATTTGCTGGTAAAATTTCACAGGCAGGAAATACCGCTTTTAAGAGATAAAAGCAGCTCATTTACTCTTCCTCTTTCCTTCGGATTTTTTTGTCTGATTTCTTGAAAGGTTTTGAAAGCCAAATGATCTGCTTTTCCCCTATCAGCTATACTCAACTGTTAAAGCAAAACCTCCAGCCTCAACAGGAGGGTAAAATGGAAATGCTTGGGGTATTTCCACAGATGAGTGAATCGGCATTTCCCGGGCTCTGTGAGACAACCATGTACCACGTGGCGGCAAAACCAACCTCTCACCTCATGCTGAGGGTTCACACAGGATGA